AAGGAATCTTGACTGTGATAATATCAGACTACTTTGAAGAATCACTGTGGGCAGGAGAGAATGGAATGATGTGATTGACAGGTTTAAAGAGAAAACCTGCCAGCCAAGATTAGTCTACTTTGCAAGGCTCTCCTTTAGATACGAGAGAGGAAGAAAGGCCTTCTCAACAGAAACTGAGGTTACAATAGCTAGACCTTCTGTCCAAGAAATAATAAAAGGAATATTAGTATTTATGTCAAATTGAGGAACATAGTCAAATAACTGGAAAAGAAAAAATACAACCAGAAAATTAAGGACAAAATAAAGGAACAGATTTTCATATATCAATAATCACTCTAAATGTTAATGGACTAAACACACCAAATTAAAAGAAAAGTATTTGGTTGAATTAGGACTGAGAATCCAACTTTCTGCTGTCTCCAGGAGATGTACCTGTGTTCCAAAATAAACACAGACTTAAGGTAAAGGGTTGAAAAACAATCTAGCAATTGAGTGGGATCCAAAAGAAGCCAGAGACAACCCTACTTATAGCAAATAAAATAGACTTCTATTTAAAAATGGTAACAAGAGACAAGAAAGGACATCATATAATGATTAGGGGAACAATACATTAGTAGGACGTAGCACTCATCAATGTATACTCACAGAATGAAGGAGCACCAAAATATGTTAGGCAACTGTTATGAACTCGGGGAAAAAAGCAAAAACAAAAAACAGTAGAGAAAACACAATCCTGGTAAGAATTCCACTTTCACTAATAAACAGATCAACAGATCAACAGAATAGTGACACAATGGGATTAAATCACATGGACCTAATAGATATCTATAAGATCAAGGGCCCTCCCTGGTGGTGCAGCCAGTTAAAGCACAGCACTAAGAAGCTAAAGCCACTTCAGCATGAGTTTGATCCCCACTGGGGAAGTGATCTACATGCCTCAGACCTCTTTTGCTCCCCTCAGCAGTGTACTTTGTTAGTTGGCCCGTTCTGCTCCCAACTCTGTCTCTGGTGAATCCTCTCACCACCGCTGCACATCTTGTCCGTACCCCGGTTCTGTATGTGTAAATAAATAAATCTTAAAAAAAAAAAAAGATCCTGTACCCCTCCAAAAGCAGAATGCATATTTTTCTCAAGGACATACAGGACATTCTTCAGGGTTGACCACCACATATTGAGTCACTAGATGAGTACCAATAATTCGTGAAGAGTTAAATTGTACTAACTAGCACCCTGATCATAAATGTATCAAACAACAAATAAAATACAAAAGGAAAATACGGAAATCATCTAATATATACACCCTGAAAATAAACTATTAAGAAATCACTAGGTTAATGAGAAAATCAAGAGAAAATAAAAAAATACATTAAGGCAAATGACAATGAAGACACAACCTTTCAGTATGTATGGGAAACAGCACATATCAAGAAATAAAAAAGAGCCCAAATAAACTGCTTGTCTCTTATCTCAAGGGACTAGGAAAAAAAAAAAAAAAGGTCAGTAGAATAGAAATAATAAAATCAAAATAGAAATAAAAAAGGCATTTAAAAAGATAACTCAAAGCTGGTTCTGTGAAGAAATGAACAAGATAAATTTAGTGAACAAAAAGGGAGAAAACTAAACAGATAGGGTCAAAAATGAAAGAGGAAAAGTTACAACAGACCCTAGAAATGCAGAGGGTATTAAGAGGATCCTCTGAACATTTATATGCTTACGAGTTTATTAACCTAGATTAGATGGCCACATTCTTAGACTAACACAGTCATCTGAGACTGCATAGAGAAGATAGTTAAAACCTGAAAAAAAAAATCAATAAACAAGAAAATTGAAACAGTAATCAAAACAAGTCTAGGACCTAATAGCTTAATAAGCAAGTTCTACCAAACTTTAAAAGGTGTACTAATACTTGCCCTGCTCAAATTCTTACCAAAAAATGAGAGAAGAAATCCTAAAAAACTCTACCAAAAAACCATTAGAAATAATAAATTAGTACAGTAAAGTGGCAGGATACAAAAATTTTGTGTTCCTGTACTCAAACAACAAACTACAAGAGAAATGACAAATATATAACAAATCAAAAAGATTAAGAACTTCGAAATACAACACAAACTGTAAGACATTGTTAAGAGAAATAGAAGACATAGGGAAATGGAAAGATTTTCCGTGCTTGTGAATTGGAAGAATCAACATTGTTAAAATGGCCATCTTATCCAAAGCAATTTACAAATTTAATGTAAATCCTATTCAAATTCCAATAGTTCTCTTTAAGGAAACAGAGCAAATATTACTGAAATTAGCATGAACCCACAGAAGACCATGACTATAGGAGCAATTCTGAGAAAAAGAACAGATATATCACGCTCCTAGACTTCAAATGATACTACAAAGCAAGAGTAATCAAAATAGTGTAGTATTAGAATAAAAATAGACATCAGATTAGTGGAAAAGAATGGAGAGCCCAGAAATAAACCTACATTTATATGGACAGTTAATTTATAGCAAAGGAGTCTTGTTTATTGATAAAGCAAAGTCTTTTCAACAAATGATGTTGGGATATGTGGCTGGCCACCATGCAAAATAATGAAATTAGATAAATATTCCACACCTTACAGGAAAATTGATTAAAAATGTATCAAAGTCTTGGATGTGAGACAAAAATTCACAAAGTACACACAGGCAGGGCTCTGCCTGGTGGCGCAATGGGTTAAAGCACCTCATTATGAAGCTCTCCAAAGCCACTGCAGCATGAGTTCAATCCTCTGCCAAGGAGCTGACCCACATGGTGAGGCAGACCCCTCCTGACCTGGCCGTTGCTCCCCTCAGCAGTGTACTTCAGTAGATCTGCCTGTTCTTCTCCCCACTCTGTCTCTGGTGAATCCTCTCACCCACCATATCTCTGGCCTGTACACCAGTTCTGTGTGCATAAATAAATAAATCTTTAAAAAAAATACTCACAGGCAAAACAGTACATGACAGAGGTCAGTGACCTCCTGAAAGGAGTCAACTACAGTGTCAAGGGAAAAAAGAAAAAAATAGACTGGGTTACATCAAATTAGAAAGGTCTCGCACAGATAAAGAAACTACCACTAAAACAAAAATACATCCTACCAAATTAAAGAGAATTTCTACACATCATACTTCCTTCCAGCAAGGGGTCACTATCCAAATCTGCAAAGAACTCATCCAAATAAACAAAAAGAAAGCAAATTACTCAATAAAAAATATGTTGAAGAGCTAAATAGATACCTTTTGCGAAGAAGATATACAGATGGCTAACAGAACACAAAAAATTGCTCATCATCATGGAAACGAAAATTAAATCACAAAGAGATACCTTCTCATACCTGTGAGCATGGGCAACATTAGCAAGACTAGACACAGATGCTGTTGAGGGTGAGGATACAGTCCCACCCTCTGTTGGCGGGAATGTGTATTAGTTAAAAGTCAATAGAAAATAGTATGGGAGGCTTGTCAAAACACTAAAAAGAGATCTACCATATGATCCAGCATTCTACTCCTAAATAATACAAAAGCACTAACTGGAAGTAATATATCCACTCTTGTGTTCATGACAGCCCAATTTACAGTGGCCAGGCTATGGGAACAACCTGAGAGCACAATAAAGGTGAGTGGGTTAACGAGATGTATACGAACACATGATGGGATACTAATCAACTTTATAAAAAAAAAAGATTAAATCTTACCTTTTGTGACAATATTGATGGAACTGGAGGGGATTATGGTAAGTGGCATGAGTCAGAATGAGGAAGAAATATATGGGATGATTTTATTCTTATGCAGAATAGAAAGAAACAAGCAACTGTAGCAGACAAAAGCAAAACAAAGCTTTGAAATCTGAAGCAGAACTGAGGCCCAAGAAAGGGTTGATTGGGAGGAACAAGTGGGTTCAGTGGGCAATGGTGGAAGATTACTGGTTTTTTGATTGTGCATACACTGTGAGGACATACATTCTTATATTTGTGAGCATACAGCTCTGAAAATATATAGTGATGTCAATCAACATTACCTCATTCTACAGAAATAAAGAAAAATGATAATAATGAAAAATGAATAACGGATACAAGTTCATAAAATTCTCAACACTGGATTTAATAGCTAAGAATTAGATGAACAAAAGTGGTGAGTACATGGAGAATTGAATTAGAAAGTTTAAATATTCAAAAGTATCAATTAGATATTCTCCATTTTAAAGAGAATTATTATGACATTAACACTCAACAGTTTGACAGAAAACTGGGCAAAGCAGAAGACAGGTGAAGGTTCTCAACATCATTATAAGCAGTGAATTACAAAGTATAATCATAATAACATACTGTGCATAGTCACCAGATGACAGAAATTAAATAAGCGAACAATACTAAGTGCTGGTGAGGATGTGAAGTAATATTCATTGCCAACAGGGGAATAAATGGCTTGGGGGTTACAAACAGTTTGAAAACTGAGAGTATCTAATAAGGCTGTTATACTGGATTTATTTATTACCCAGCAATTTTACTGCTCAGTATCCAATGGAAACAAAGGTTTAAGTTTATCAAAAGACATGAATAAGAATGTTCATATTAGCATTATTCATTAATAGTCCTACATGGGAGACAATTCAAATGTCTTTCAGTGATGGAATGGATAAATGAACCATGGTGTATTCATACTAAGGAACACTGCACAGCATGAAAAATGAGTCAGTCTCAAAAACATAATGCTGAGTTAAAAAACCTCATGCAAAATATACTTATTGCATAATTCCATATGAGGTTCAAAATCAGGCACAACTAATATGTGGTTTGATAACTTAGAAGCAAGTATGGCTTGGGAGGGAATAAGAGGGGTTTTATGGACTTGGGCTAAATCCTTTATCTTGATCTGGAGCAGTGGTTGAGTGATTTTGTTCCTCACACCACAGGAAATATTTGGCAGTATCTGAAGACATTTTTGGTAGTCACATCTCGGGAGATGCTACTGGTATTTGGTTGGTAGAGGACAGGGATTGTGCTCGACATTCTACAACGCATAGGTCACTCCCCTGGCAATAAGGTTTGCGACTCAAAGTGTCAACAGTGCTGAAGTGAGAAAACCCTGATCTAGATGTTGGGAACCTGGGTTATACAATTGTAAAGATGAGTAAATTGTACAGTTAAAGTATTTAAGTTACAATTCAAAGCAAAAACAACCATAAATCTTACAAAAATACCTATACTTCCTAAAATTAGCAAACTTAGGTAGAAACTGTGATTCAGTTGGATAACTATTCTAACTAATTATTAAAGAGTCCTAAGGAATTGAATTTGTCAGGAATTCCATGGTCAGGAAGAAATGAACTCCTTATTTATAGTCCCCATTAAATGCAAAGACATTTCTCTCTTTCTTATGGCAGGAGATACAAGAATTCTTGTCTATGTTTTCTCTAAAAACAGATGTTTGTGGAATTACAATAAAGGCATTTGTGGTAAAGTCCATATATCTGGGATTTTCTTAGAGGCATCAAAGTATAAGGAGAAAAATAGACTTGTCCTTTTAAAACAGTACTCTAATCTTGGTTACTGACTTGCTGCCCCTAATTATGAATAGGATTTTCACATAAATTAGGAAATCTATAGTCCCTTAAATCTCATTATCACCCTACCCCAAGATAAAAAAGTCATTTACAAGGGTGGGGTATGCGCAGGTTTCATAATTCTTTCCACTGTCTTGCATAAATGAAACAACTGTATAAATCTGTGTTGACATTGCCATACAGTCTTAGGTGGGTTAGAAATGCCGGACATTACTATAGCTAAAACAGCATCATACACTTCTGGCCTAGCTCTTGAGTAAAAACTGTTCAATTAGCATCAGAAGTGATGAGGGCACAAACAAGTTAAGCCAGAGAACAAAGTGTTCTCTATTTCACTGTTGGGCGAAGACACATGTAGTCAACCCAGGACCTCAGGGAGTAAGACTGCTGGGTATCTTTGCATGAGGTGATTGTCTGAAATCCAGATGTTAGAGGGATTTTACAAATTTAGAGTAAATTAGTTAATAACTAGAAACTAAGTACTCAAAGTAGAAAGGTCAACTGGCTTTAGTAATCACTGAAATAAGTAAAATATCACTGCTGGGCAATGGGACATGTTACTCATATTTCACAAAAGATTCCCCATGTAAAATAGCTAGAATTTAATCAGCTAGATTAGAGTCAAGGTAGTTTATTCTATGAGTTCATAGTCATGCAATATTACCTTGAGCATTCAATCATATTAAACCTTATTGTGAATGACCGTTATAAAAGCCCATTCAATTGTACTATGAACTGAGTCATCCTATGTAGTGTTTTCTAAACTCTTGAGCTTGTCAAGGTAACATTCAGGGACCATCTCAGATATGCCAGTTAGTCAGTGACTCACCCTGATTGCACTAAATGCTCAGCTCTGACTCAGAGTGAACCTATTAGTTGCTGACTGATGCTGTATGTTTTGAATAGAAGTTCGCATTGTGAGTCACCTGGTGGTACACTGAAAACCAATCTGAAATATTCCCAATTAGACAGTGATTCACATGATAATCATATTAGGATCTGGCTTTAAACATGTGGTTTCAAAATCAGTTTTGCTGAACTGGCTTGGGAGCATGGTAATAAGTCACTCCCTGCTGAATGCCCTGTATTTCTGTCGAAGAACAAGTAGATATTCAGAGGTGCAAAATCAAGGCTGAGATATCCATTTGACACAATGGAGTGAACTGATTTCCTTCTTCAAGGATGCAAGCAAAATTCCTAGAAGTGCCTTCCTGAAAGACACAGCATTCCTATAAATAACTTTGTATGGCCAGATGCTCCTTGAAAGGTTCTTCCTTGTAATTCCTAAACTGCTCATGTGAAGGCTGGACCATCAGCGTTCACTGCATCTGTCCATAGAAGGTGAATATCATTAGACTGCCACTTGCAGAAATGAAAGATTTGAGGAACAAGGGCCTAGAATAAAACAGGTAACCAGCACATTGCATTAAAATAAGAGTTTCCCCCTCTCTTTCATTCTTGCTTGTCTACAAGATCTGGGATAATAAAATCTTCTGTGTAATTTTGAAGGTTTTTCCCAAAGAACTCTTACAGGAACTACTTTCAAAGTCAGCAGGAAGGAGATTTTAATAATTTAAAAAGGCTTCAGAAATGGTTTCTAATGTAAAACTGCTACAAGGGACTAACAGAATATATAACAACTTCATACTCCCATAGGACCCTAAATTCAAATTCTGGTTCTGCCTCTAACTTGATCTGTGACCTTACTTTACTGAAGGCAAGTCATGCTGTCATGTTTACTGTGAGGGACCATGATGAAATTTGGGGACAACAGTAGTCACATTCCATCCTGGTCTCCCTTGTGTTGGAGATAATATAAGCTTGCATAATACCTTCTGATTTCCTATTTGTTAAAGGTTTATAAATCTGTAAACAGGAAATCATCAATGTGGTGTGTAAGAGCCCTGGGGAGTGAGTCAGGAGACCTAATTCTAATCCAATTTTAGCTCCTGTTTAGTTGGAGATATCTGGCTGGACTGCTAACCTCTCTGAATGTTTCCTCATCTGTAAAGCGGGAAGAGGTGGAATAAGGAATCTTAATTTATGATTTTATATTCTTGATATAAAGGATATTTAAGCTAAAAGATTTGCAGTTACCTTAGTGAAGTTAGCATTTCTGGCTTCTAAGATAAATTTTCAGGTTTTCTTAAATAAAATTGACTAGGTGCTATATTTTAATAAGGTCCCTGATTCTGTACTAGATTTTCTGTATATGACCTAGTGTGTATTTTTCATGCACAGCTACTATAGAAAGTGAAATATTTTGAAAGGTAAAGATAATTTTTGTAAAGTGCTGTTTGAAATTTGCACATAAATATTTCATAATTTGAAATACAGTTTAGATGATGTAGAAATGCAATGATTTAAATTTAGATCTCGACATAGAAAACATTTACTGCTTTTCTAATTTTGATTTACATTTCCTCTATCAGTATGCATACCTATAGCACACAAAAATATGCCTTCTGTTCCTGAATATTTTTGTATCTGCTAGAGGCCTACTATATTAATTTACTGAATGCCGGCAGCGGCCCTATGAAATAGGTCCTTTAATTATCTCCATTTTAATGCATGCTAAAATTAAGGCACTGAGAGATTAAGCGATTTACCTAAAGTCATGCTGCTAGACTGGGATTTGAATCAACATATTTAACCCAGAACCCCAATCCATTAGGCAACATTGCCTTTGGCATGTGTTGCCCATACTTGATATAAAAGATGCCACTCAGTGAAGAAAAGACAAACGGGATGAAGTCCAGTAGGAAATTAAATAACGAGTAAAAAATAAGAATTGACAGATAGTCATTTACTACAAGTGTTCATGCCAAGTCTGGGGAGTCAAACAGTTTAGTCAATCCATAGCCTGGATCCACTAAAAGTAAAACGAAGACAAACCTGAAAGGAAACCCTGTGATCTGAGCCTGAGGAGGAGCGCTGACACAGTAAAGGTAACTAAAGACTGGTGCAGGAGTTCCCTTATCGCCACACTCAGGGGTCAGCGCAGAACCCCGGTGGGCAAGTGACTGCCTCCTGGCCGGTGGGCTAGGGAGACCAGTCCCCTCGGAAGGGGCTCGCTGCAGTTGGGACAGCCAGCGGAAACCCTCCACAACTCCAGCCCGTCCTAGATGGGGGAGGGTGGACAAAGACCAATTGGCCCTCGCCAGATTCCGTTAAGGAAAAATGAGGATTTTTTCTCTTCAGCACGCTCCTCCTTGTGGACAGAAACGCTGCAATCACTTTCACTCCGTCCCCCGCGTGGGGCGTGGGTGCAGCAATTTCTCCCCAGGGCTCCCACTCGCCAGAGCCCTGAGCACTCTTAAACTCAGCATCCAGCGACTGTTGTTGTCGCTGGCGGGTCCTGGACACTCACCTGGGTTATCCCGGGATGCGGGAGAGTCCCGAAGGTTCGCAACTCTAGTCTTTCGCAGGTCTCCACTCCCATCTCTCCCATGCACCCCCCCACCTCGCCCCCTGGTTTTCCCAGAAGCTGGGTGGTGTCGCTGAGCAGAACTAAAATACCGACTCTCCCACTCCCACCAAACCAAAGCAGAAACGCCGCGAAACACTAAGTCTTCCCTCGCAAACGCCCACTCTTATCTCGGTGCACCACCTCTTCCAAGGCCGCTCCCCAGTCCATTCCCACAAAGTTGGGGGGAGGGGAGAAGCCCCGCTTACTGTTCTCCCCGCCCCCTAACGCGACCCCGCTCCTTTCCGGTGCGCCAACTTCCCTTAGGTTCCTCGCCCGCCCACTCCCACCTTCCAGTCTTCGCAGCCCGGGCGCCTAGACTCGTTACAACTTCCCGAGCGCAGCTAAGAGAGTATGGAAAAGTCAGTCAACAGTGCCGATCGGTTCAAGAAAAATCCCCGCGGCATCCGCATCTTAAATGCCTTGGCATCGTCAAAGGGCGGGGGTGGGGGGCAGTTCTGTCCATTCGGTTTTCAAGAGCATAAATGCCAACTAATCAGCCACTCTGGGTTCGCAAGTGGGAACCCATTTCCAGGCCCGGTTCCTCGGGTGTCTCTCCTGAGTTGCACTTCTCCTAAAGGGAGATTTCGGCAATTCAGGGAGTGCCTCCTCTTTCCTTCCCACCTGCACTCAAACAGCCCGCCTCCGGCGCCTCGTTGCTTTTTTTCCTCCTTCTCCCTATTCAATTCATCAGCTTGGACTTTCCCAAAAATACTTTGTGTCAATACGCATTTTAGATTTTACTGACACGGCTCCTGCGCCTGCCACCCACTCACTGACCCCCCAGGCCACTGAGGTTAAATCGTGTGGACGCCTGGGTGGCCCAAGTACAAATCAATCGTGGCGGATGGACGCTCCCCTCCATCAGAGACACACTCTAAACCCAGATATACTCAAATGCTAACTGATGGGATTTGGACTCTAAGACTGGGCGACCGACCCACACCCCCTCCCACCAAAAGCAGCGACTACGACAGCACTCTCTCTTTCTTGACTATCGTGGGTGCCCCACTGGTTAGGGCCACTGACCCTCCCGAGGTCTCGGGAATTCCAGAGGGAGAAGGGGGTATTGAGGAAACGGTGTACTCACGATTCCACGGTCCACCCCGCGAGCCGGGGTGGAAGCTCCAGCCAGCTAGTCTCAGTCAGCCATGCGCATGCGTCCCGCGTGTGCCTTATTTTTATTATAATTCCAAGTGAGGTCCTTACTATGCCTGCGACTGCTCGCCCCGCTTTCCGCTTCTTCTGGCTCTCCGCCTTTCTTCTCGCTCTCTTCTTTCTCCCTTTCCCACCCTTTGCTCGGCCTCTTCCCCGCCCCCTCAATCGCCCCTCCGGGCCGGGTAACCCTAGTTCTAGCCTCCCTCTGGCGGTCGGGCTTTCCACTGCGGCGGGGGTTAGAGGGTGGGGTGTCTCTCCAGGCCCCACGCGGGGCACGATCTGCTCTCGGACCAGAGCCCGCTTCTCTAGCCCAGGATTAGGAAGTACCCAGAGTGTTCGTGCGCTGTCTAGAGAGCGCGGAGGGCGTGGGCAAAACCTCCCTCTGCCACCGCTTGACTACAGCTCTCGGGAGTCGAGGGAGACTCCACCCTTCGGGACTGCGTGCTCGGACCTTGTGAATGAAGGGCGCAGAGTGGAGTGTGAGAGTGTGTGTGTGCGCGCGCGATTGTGCCGCGGTTGCGCCTTGAGCGGAGAAGGTGCTCGTCTCTGGAGAGTCTAAGAATTGCCCAGCCGGTGGAGGGCAGCTTCCTACCTTCTCCCTTGCTTTAGGGTGCTTCTCGGAGCTCTGCCCGTCCTCACCCGGTGCCCCCTCCGCCTGCGGTTAACTCTCAGTTGAAAGGGTCTCTTATCCATCTCCGGCCTGCTGGAGCAGGAGGCCCCACCTGGTTGGAGGTGTGTGGATGGTGGAGGGCGCTAACTCCCTCCTTTGGACCCCGCTGAGAACCTCCACAGCTGCCCTTGGTCCCCAAGGGATTCCCGAATCCGGGGGAAAGAGGGGGCACCCGCAGGGTCGAGGGGAAACCTAGCCCAGCTCTACAGCCACTGAGTGCCGCTTGGGTGTACCCTCCCGAGCGCCTCTCAGTTGGTCCTAGCGGCCTTGCTGTTGAGCTCGCGGGGCTAAACTGAAGCTGAAAGCTGACCTGACAAAAATAACATCACGTCATTTCCTCTCTTCCCTCCAGAGCCTGCAGAAGCCGAGAGGGCAAAGGCGTGGGAGCGCGAGGAGGGGGCGGAGGCGCTTCTGGAGGAGGCTGGGAAGATCCGGAGGAGGAGAGCAACGCTAGGGGAAACCAGAGTTTGAGGAGCAATTTCGACGAGGGAGAGCACCCCTCCCCCACCTCTAGATTGCATTGACCCTGTAAAGGAAATGGGTCAGGAATTATAGCTTCTAGGGTCCCTGGGACACGGAGGTTTCAGAAGAGTCACCTATGACCTTTCTTGGACCTACCGTGCTGAACTCTGTCTCATGCCACCCCCTCTCACCTTTATTGGTGGGGTGCTTGCTGGCCCCTTTAGGAGTGGATCGGTCAGGTTGAGAAAGGAACTGAGAGTATATTGTTGAGGGTGGTAGGTGTCGAAGTCTGCGGTGGGTGGGGCTTGTTCGAAACACGGTACTCACCGGCATGTTCAAGGGTAATCTCTGCTCTGTACTGGCAGCCTCTCCCCTGGTCAGGTGTCCCCCTTGGGGTCTTCTGGGCAGTGCCATAGCTGCAACTAGCAGGAGTAGGTGGCCTGGCCTTCGTAGGTGCCCCGTAGAAAGCCCAACTGATGGCAGAGCAGAAAGCAGAAAGGAGATACTCCGGGCACTGATGGGGACCTTCAGGACGGGGTCCGCGGAGAAGTTGAGAGAAGAACCTCGTGAGACCAGAGAACGTGTCAGAAAGGAGGCTGAGCAGTTTGGGCGCAGCTGGAAAATCTGGGAGCTGTACAGAGCCAATGGATGGGGGAGGGCAAAGGAGAGGGAGGAAGAGAAACAAAACTAGCACACCATTACTGTTGGGTTCATTTACACTAAAGAAAACTTGCATCTAGTGCCATTTATTTTTTGAGGCATTACTTTTGGGGAAGGTTGGTGAGAGCAAAAAGAAAGGCTTTTGGTTAGATTCTCAACCCTCTCCACGTCTCTTTCCATCCTTTCTTTCTCCTCCTCTGACTTCCTTACAACCCTCCCACCCCCACCCACTTCTCTAATAACCAGGAGCTTGTTAGAAATGCAGAATCTCAGACTCTATCCCAAGAGTTGGCATTGGAATCTGAATGTTAACATTTCCAGGGGGCTGGTATGCAAGTAAAGATAAAGTGTATGGTAGGATCTCCATTCACATATCTTGGTTCTTTAGAATGTGGATACAAATCTCATAGTTTACTTTTGGAACTTTTGCTCTTTGCCTTTCTGACATCTTTAATTCTCCCACCTCCCAAATTGGGGTCTTTACTTGCCAGAGGTACATAAGTTGGTCTTAGTACCTAGCAGTTTATGAGAAATTTGGATTGTGGTAGAAGATTGAGGTATCTCATACTCACCTCAGGAAGGGTGTGGGGGAAAAGGGGTTGCCTTTGGCTTTAGTTGTGCTGGGTAGTGTGGGGTGGGAGACAAGTGTGGGGGTGGGGTCCTTAAGTGTACACTGCAGTCTCCCTTTCCACATTATGTGGGATTCCATGGAACACAAGTCTTTCCACTTGTTGCACAGGAGATATAAGCAGCTACAGTGGAGGTAAAACCACTATTTTATTGGAAACTGGGAGGGAATATTACTTGAGAAACCAGAAACTCAGGGTTCTATATTCTGCCTTTCAACTAACTTGATGGCTAACCTTGAAAGTCTCTTTATTCCTTGAATTTATCTTTTTTATTATAAAGCAAAGTGATTAAACTCAGTGACTTTTAAGGTCACATGCCTTGTTAAGGTTCTCATTTTTGAGAAACTGAGGGAGCTTGAGAAACTCAAACCCAATCATTTTGAGAAGCTCTCAAACTTCTTGCTCCCTTCACATTTCGTGTAATTACAAACCGGAACCTAACTCAGCCAATCCAAACAGCCCCCTCAAGAAAAACAAAAGGGCAATTTAATCTGCTTTTGAAAAACAAGATTGGTGGCAGCCAAGAAAAATGAAGGTGGAGGCGGGAAGCAGCTAATAAAAGTGACAGCGGGTTGAAGCGCAGGAGGGGGCGATGAGCGCGAGGTGGGGCACGGGTCCCAAGGGCGCGGCGGCCGCTCTCCAGGGTCCTGAAGGAGGGAGATGCCGCGGGCATCCTCGTGGGCTTGGCACGATTCCCCAATTTAGCAGTCGCCAGGCCCATCATGTTTTCTTTCTGCAGTGAAAGTCTTGTGGGAAGCAATTGTCGGGAGGGAGGGAGGGAGGAAACCTAGCAACCCATTCTCATTCATGAGGCCCTTTCTGGGAAGCCACGGAGAGCGTTGGCTGATTTGTCTTACGGTCGTTTGTATGCGTTCCGGGAGAGAGTGGAGCTCCGTTTGCATTTCCAAGTAAGTTCACATTGTTTCACTCCCCCTCATTACCTTTTCCTGGAGAATGGGGTCATTCTCCTAGTATTTTCATTCTCCCTTTCAGAGGCAAGTCTCCTCTCCCTTAGGCTCCCTAATGACCCCTCCCCCCCTTGCTTTCAAACACAGTGCATTTACTTCAGATGTTGGAGTTTGAAGCCCAAGAGGCTTCTGGAGAAGCTCCAACAGCTCGCTCAAGGGGGTGGGTGGTGGGTGGAAGGAGTTATTTGGAAAACTCACAGAGCCTGCTTTGGTGCCCAGCGTTAGTCTCCACAGAGAGAACATGGGGCATTCCCCTGTGGTTGGTGTTGGGGTGGGGGTTCGGCAGGCGCCCATATAGCTCTGTTCTAGCTGATCTACTGGATCGCAGCTAATCTAGTGAACACCTGCCTGAGACTGCGCTATAACCATTGTGGCAACTACCTTCAGCAAGCACTGAGTCACAGGAAACTCAGGGGCCATAAGGTCAACATAGGGGGGAAAAATCATATGTTAAAGAAGCCAAGAGATAACTTGGTCGCGAGTGATCCAAAGATTGACTAAACCCAATGTAGGCCTTTGGGCCAGCTTTTGTACAGGGACTTGAATGAAGGGGTGGGGGCTGGAAAAGCTGGATAAACTTCTTCCATGCACACCCCACTCTTAGATCCCATAACTTACAACTTTAGCTCATATTTTCAAATGGTTTTGTGAAACATGTGAACCTGTAATCTGATTCGTCTCTCTCTCCCCAGCCTTTCTTGCAAAGTCACTTGCATGTCCCTTTCCCTGCCATGCTTCATTAAGCATTTTGCTTCGGCCCTGTGCTTCAAGACAGAGACGCTTCTGATGGAAAGAGTGGAAATGTTCAGCCAGAATAAAAGTCCCCAGTTCATTCCCAGAAACACAAAGCCAGTGCTCATTTGTTCCTCTGGAGACATTCACCGTTTGCTCTTCCTTAAGATTGATCTTTTCCCTCCAATAAGCAACCTGTTGCCCTATCCTGGTTTTCACCTGGTAGTGGTTCTGCAATCTCAGCCAATCTAGTGAGAGACCAAAACTCTTCACTAAGTAGACAGGGTGTGAAACAAGTTAAATGAAGGGTGCTGTAATCCACACCCTTCTTGCAAAGACAGAACTGTGGAAGTATTGATGTAGTCTCAAAATTCAGCCCAAGAAGAGAACTTCAGCCAATGGTGCCAATCACTCTAGATTGTAGATGCCACTCTGAGGGGTTCAATAACATTAGCCACAAAGTGGAATAATCTTGGAATGCATATTCTTGAAAGCACTACTCCTTAGGGATACAGAAGACTTAGGGAATACTTTATTTTGATCTAATATCCACTTGCCTTATTAATCACATTGACTATTGAGCCATGTAGAGGAGAAAATTGATGTACCTCAAATCTACATGAAGGCTCGATCTCTTTAAAAGGCAAATTGGAAATTTTCATTTACCCCTAAAATGGTACAGTTTCATGAAGGATTATGCATAGCAGAATTAAACTGCCCTTTTACAAAAAGTTTTAATAGAATATAGAATCTAAATAGAATAGACTAAAATTAGATTTAATTTCATGAAATGACTTTAATTTTTTCTTGACCTTCATTTTTAAATTCTGATTGTCTGTGTGTTAACATTTGCACTTTATGTTATTTTGGAGAAGTAGTTCTTTCCACTTGGATTTAAAAATCTAATTTACAGTGGTTGAAAGTCATAATCACAAATATTTGCTAGTGCTATTAAATTTACAGATTGGAAAATAACAATAAATAGGCTAATTGGACCATGGGTATTAGAGTTAGAGGTTAATATTAATTGGAAGTCAACCAAACAATTAAAGACACACTTCTAATAAGGCTCACTTAGAATCTAATGTTCTTAGTGAACATGCAACTGTTATAAAGAATGTCTCTGCTGCTCATAATTAGTTCTGACTTCAGCTATTCTTTTAATAACTTTAAAATATATTTATGCTTATGTGGAGGTGTCATAAGAAGATGCTGTACAATGGAGCAATAATAATGAGGAAAGTGGGGATAGGAGTAGAAGTAGAGTGGACCAGAAATGAGGGTTTTTCAGGTCACAAGTATTTCTGGGGAGGGGAAATACCCCTAGACTCTGTTTTGGTCTTGCAGAAATAAAAGGGTCCCCTACTTCATTGCTGATATTGTTAACAAAATGAAAGATTAAGGACAGAGGTGGGACTTTACTTAAATATATACTTATCTTTATTTGAATTATATACAAAACTGAACTCTGGAACAATTTTTTCCTCTCCAAACTTCCTCCTACAGTCAGCCATTTCAGTAAGTGAAAATTTGATTCTTTTTGTTTAAGTCAAAAGCATTAGGCACATCCCTGGTTTCTCTTTCTTTCCAACTCTTTAGTCAAATCCAATGGCTTATCACATTCACAGTTATCACCATTTCAGGGTGCATTCAATCTCCCCCAAATTCTTATGTGGAAATCCTAAAGAGTATTTCAAAATATGACTTTATTTGGAAATAAGATTGTTGTAGATCAAATTACAATGAGGCTGGTGCTGCAGTAAGGTGGGTCCTAACCCCAGTATGACTGGAATTCTTATAAAAAGGGGTAATTTCAACACAGATATGCACACAGCAAGAATGCTATGGGGAAATGAAGGCAGACATTAGGGTGATGCATGTAAAAGGTAAGAAATATCAAAAATTGCCATAGGTTAGAAAGAGGCATGGACAGATTCTCTCTCAAAGAGGATTTAGCCACAGGACTGATGCATGGTAACCCTGTCTGAGTTTCCAGTCTCTCACCTGGCCTAACCTGTAGATTTTTGATTAAAACTGAAATATCAATTCTTACCTAAATTTCCAACCTGCTTCTTTGATCTATAGATTTCAGAATTGCCAGCCTCTATGTTCACTTGAGTGAGTTTTAAATACCCTTTCATTAAAAATATTCTGTTGAGGCCCTCCCTTGTGGCGCAGCGTGTTAAGGCACAGCATTAAGAAGCTTAAGCCACTTCTGCAGGAGTTCAATTCCCGCCTTCCCCGGAGGAGATCCACATGGGGAGGCAGACCTCTCCTGACCTGCCTGTTGCTCCCCTCAGCAGTGTGCTTCATCGATCTGCCTGTTCTACTCCCCCCTCTGTCTCTGGTGAATCCTCTCACCCTTCGCATCTCTGGTCTGTACCCCAGTTCTATATGAATAAATAAATAAATCTTTAAAAAATATCCTGTTTATATGTATCTCTGGAGAACTTTGACTAATGTACCCTGGTAGAGGGATTTTCATCTATCACCTGACTACTGTAATTGTCTTCCAACTAGTAATTTTCTGCTTCCTTTTTCCTCATTCCCTTCATGGTTGAGTCTCAAAAAATTTGAAACCAGAGTTATATTGTTTTTTTATTGTTGTAAAATATAAATACCACTAAATTTGCCACTTTTAG